GGCCTTCATAAACTATTAGGTTCATTATACAATATATTACTTAGGACCTTACCTACCTACAAACATGACCTTCATTCTTTGACATAACATTCATAAACATATCATATCTCTTGGACTTTTCTCATAAACATAAGTCATAACATAACCATACTATAGAACATAGAACATATAGGACTTATGAAATATTCATGTACATGGCATGTTTATTTCTTGTCTTTATACTTGATGGTTTCATTATCTTTGTTATCCGATCGGATTCATTTGAACCATTACCTTGTTCTTGGTCGTCACCTCAAGGACTCATGGTTTCCATAAGAATTCCATTCCTCTGATCTTGGTTTAATCCTCAAGAGACTCATGGAATTCATTCTTTAACATTTCATCAATTTTTCATAAGACAACTATACTTATGCATTACCATTAGAATGCAAACATATGGACTACATCTCCCATGCTCAATCATACTATATTCTCCTACTAAACTTCTAAATTAATTCATTCATTTCTGATACAATACAAGGAATTTCATTAGTAAGATATCAGGGGTTTATTAGAATTAGCAACAAATGGGAATTCCATGAAGAAGGTGGATGCCATTAGTTTGTCACTTTTCAAGCAATTTTTCCCTTATCTTCCAATTCGAATTGATTTTTTGCTAAAACATAAAAGTTTTAGGTATATTTCTCCACTTTTTAAAACTTCAAGAATAAACTCAATTGGACTTCTATAACTTCAGTTATACCGATTCAGTGAAGCTGTAGTATATGTCCTAAAAGCCAAAGCCAAATCCGAATTCTATTCATTTTTAACCATGTCACCTTCATTTGCACATTCACATCATTTGCCATGTCATTATAGGTATAAAAGCCATAAAACCTCCCTTTTTACAGAACCAAAAAGTGCCAAAACATCGTCCACTACCAATCTCTTAATTGGCATAATCATCCTCCATATGCACACATACACCAATCAACACACCCATTTAAACAATCCATAACCAAAACATAGCATCACACTCTATAACATAATAAATGTAAGTTCCATAAACCCTAGGTGTTATCAATTGTAGTCATAAGGAGATTTTTTTCCTTACCTTAGTATTCAAAGCACAAGCACTCCTCCTTAGCTCCAAAGGTTCCCCCTTTCTACCTACACACAAACCACTTATGAATTTCTCTTTTAACTAAAAGATAGAAAAACTGGTTTTTGAAACTCACCTTAAACCCTGAAATTTAAGGTCTTTAAGTGTGGATGGTGATCTCCTTGAAAATCAACTTGAAATCCTATGAAAATTTGAGATAAAATGCTTGGATTAGTGGCTTTTATGGTGGATTTGAGAGATGAAGAAGAAGATGATATGTTTGGGTGTACAAGGCCACTACTCTCTCTTTAAACCTTGTAAATATTTATTCCCTTGTTGCCCTAATGTGTTGTCAATAAAAGTTAGATATAGGGTCATTTGGCATAAATTTTTCATATAAGGGCGTTTTGGTCATTTCCACCACAACATAAAGATTATCACTCATTTAATGCCATTTGACTTCTTTAAAACACTTACAATTAAGAAATCCCATTAGGTAAATGACTAAATTACCCTTGGTGCACTTTTATGGATACTTATTACATATGGATTCGTATGAAAAACCATTATACCCTTGGTTACCGTTTACCCATTTAACCATATCAATCAACTTTATGACCATTCTACCCTCATTTCTCTTCAATGACATCACCGCTACACTTTAAGGCACATCTCAAATACATGTAAATTGACCATTTTACCCTTCCATTCAAAAAAAAGAAAATTACTTGAAAGGTAATTTCATACCTTAGGGCATCGGAATAATAACGCAGGGTTTACAACGCCTCTCTCTTCCGGGTCTGCAATTTTCTTTATTTTTGAGTTTTGTTTATGGCCATGAGCGCCTAAACTGTTGTAACTTGGTCGAAGGAAATGGAAACCTCGGAATCAACCAACTGTGAGGTCTAATCTATTTTATTTAGTGTTCAATTTTCGTGTTTGAGTATTGAATGTTATTCTATGCATATCTTCATGATTGATGCATTTATTACTAGGAGGCCTACTAGTATTATTTGTTGCAATCTACTGCTAAGTTTGATATCAAATCCGTAATTGTTTGATCCCTCTAACTTGTGAAGCAATTAGGGTTAATATTTGCTGCATCAGGAATTAGTAATCTTAGAGGACATTCAACTAAATTAATACAACCGCTTGTATTTGTGTTGTTTAGCTTCATCGATTTCTCTAATTCTTAAGGCTGTCATTAGATTAAATCTTTAGCGCTTGTCTAGGTGTTTTAATGGTAAGATTATTAAGATCGCTTGTTTCCTAATTATTACATTAAGGAGAGATAGGAAATTGTTCCAACGGTGATATTCAAAGCAAGAATTGATCTATTTTTGCATCAATGATCAATTGTAAGATTCCGATGGTGGATGTTGACGGAGACCAAGTTTCGTTATTTTGACTGATTTTCGATTTGAATTGTTTTGTTTGTCCTAAGATGTTTTCTGTTTTTACAAAAACCCCCCATCCTTGTTCCATAATCAAAATTTGGCTAGACACTCTTCGTGGGACGACCCTTGCTTCCCTATTTACAGTTTAGTAGTTTGGTTAGAAAGGTTATTAATCTGGTGCCTACGACAGCACACCACCATAGCAGATCAGCTGGCCCAGATTTATATCAAGAGAGTAGCTAGACTCCATGAAGTGCCCAAGACCATAGTATCAGATAGAGATTCCAGATTTGTTTTAGCTTTCTGGACCAGTCTATAGGAAACTTGGGTACCAGTTTAGCATTAGTACAGCATACCACCCTCAGACAGATGGCCAAACTGAGAGAACAAATCAGGTACTTGAGGATGTTAACAGCGTCATATAGATTATAAAATGACCTAGCATGAGATGTTACTGATAATCCGAGAATTATACTGTTTTAATTATGCTTTTTGGCTGGATTTTAGATACTTCTTAGTTCATTTATGCTGAATTGCTGCTTAATTCTATACATTTTGTGTTGCAGGCCAAAATGGACATTTTGAGCAATAGAGACGAATTGGAGTTTCTGGACCCAAAGTAAGGATCTCAGATTTGGGAGAGTTCAAAGCAGATTGAAGCACTGTGAAGCTTGTTCCCTTGGAGAGCATCAAAGATCAAAGAATCAAGCAAGAAGCAAGCGGAGGGCAATTTCATAATTTCAGAATTCTTCGTAAAGGTTCGCCTGGCGAAGTCTATTCTCACCCACGGCGAAAGAAGTTAATCACGAGAGTCCATTTACCTCATCGTCACGGCGTAGTTCTTTCTCGCCGCAACGAAGTCTGCGAATTTTAGTTTCTCCAAAACGCACAGTTTTATTTTAGAAAAGTTTTAGGTCTTTTGGGGCGACCTATATAAGAAAAACCTTGCCATTTCTTGGGGGGGGGGGGGGGGGGGTTCGAGTTCGTTGATTTTCATTGAGTTTAATAGATTTGACATTTTTTGTGGAGAAAGTGAGAAGATTTGAGATTCAACCTTGTGGATTCTTCAACTAGGGGAGATATCTTTTCTTTTCTCTTATTTCAATATGTTGCCTGCTATGTTTACTGTTTTTCTTGCGTTTGTGTTGACTTAGTTATGAAACTAACCCAATTTTGGTTGGGTTTTGATGTAACTCGGATTTCTATGGGTTAATCAGTTGATTATTGATTTTCATATTCTATTGCAAAGATTGTGTGGTTATTCTGTTTTCATTGATTTTATTTGATGACTATGATGAGATTGAGAAATGAATCATGTTGAGCTTCTTGGGTAATCACTATTGTAGTATTGAATGCTAGAGATAGATTTGAGAATCATTGAAATCAATCTAGGATTCCTTATCTTAATGAACTTGGATCTATTATTCTTCAAATTGTTGGGTGCGGAAGTCTAATAGGGAAAAGTAGGAATTCATAGCCTGAGAAGGTATGTTTGACAACTTAGAGAATTCGATACAATCCGTGCACGTGCGTGTGAAAATAGCATAATCCGTAAAAGTCATCCATAGAGTCTGAATGAAGTCAAAACCCTAACCTTTTGTTAAATTGATATTACTCTTGTTTTAAATTCTTGCTCTCGTTAATTAGTTTTTAATACTTACTAAGTTTTGTTTTAGTCTTAGTTTTAATCTCTCCCATTAATCCAAACAATTTCGATTTCCCCAACTTGAAAAACAGTTAGGAAATTTAGTGCTTAACAACCAATCCTCGTGGGAACGATACTCACTCATCACTTTATTACTTTGTACGACTAGTGTACTTGCTATCATTAAATGTTGTAGTAACAACGCATCAAGTTTTTGGCGCCATTGCTGGGGATTGAGTTTTGTGTTAACATTAAGTTATCTTGTGTTAGCTGGATTGGAGTTTATTTTTGTTTTAATTGTTGTTTGTTTAATTTTTAGTTGTTCTTTTTAGTTGGTTTGTGATCTCACTTTTACTCTCTTTCTGTGTAGTTTATGCGAAGAGTAAGACGTTAACTAGTGGTTCTTGTTGATCCTGAGATTGAAAGAACCACTAGAAGACTTAATAGAGAAAGAAGAGAAAGAGAGGCTATAGTTGAATCAGAGGTCATAGTTGTTGAGATGGCAGAAAATAGAACACTAAGGGAGTTTTCAGTTCCCTCAGTTGATGGCAGTGGGTCAAGCATTACTAAACCAGCTGTACAAGCCAACAACTTTGAGATAAAGCCAGCAATCATCCAGATGATCTAGCAGTCGGTATAGTTTAAAGGAGATTTGAAGGAAGATCCAAATCTACACATTGCCAATTTTTTGGAGATTTGTGATACTTTCAAGTCAAACGAAGTGTCAGATGACGCCATTAGATTGAGACTATTCCCGTTTTCATTTAGGGATAAAGCTAAGGGATGGTTAATGGCATTACCATCAGGAACGATTACAACATGGAATGATTTAGCACAGAAGTTCCTGACCAAATTCTTTCCTCCAGCAAAATCAGCAAAATTGAGAAATGATATCACATCTTTTCTACAGAAAGAGTCTGAATCATTATATAAGGCATGAGAGAGATACAAAGAATTACTAAGGAAGTGTCCACATCATGGGTTGCCAGTTTGGATGCAAGTCCAAACGTTTTATAATGGATTGATGGTGAATGTGCAAACTATGGTGGATGCAGCCTCGAGAGGAGCACTACAAAATAAGACACCTGAAGAAGCTCATGAGTTGCTTGAAGTTCTGGCAAGTAACAACTATTAAAGACCTAATGAAAGGGTGCAACCGAAAAAATCTATGGGTCTTCATGAAGTTGATGCATACACAACCATTTTAGCCCAACTCACAGCACTTCAAAAATAGTTGGGAAGTATGCAGGTAAATTATATTCAAGCTCCTCAACTAATTTGTGAATTTTGTGCAGGTAGTCATATGAGCAGTGAATGCCAAGTGAGGAACACGTTTACTTCAGCATCTTCATCATCGGAGCAGGTTAACTACTTGGCAAGAAATCAAAGGCAACCGAATAACCCGTACTCCAACACATATAATCCTGGTTTGAGGAATCATCCGAACCTGTCTTGGGGCAATCAGAACCAAAAGAATCAGCAAAACAATCAATGGAACCAAAGAGCATTGCCAAACAACCAAGTAGGGGTGAACAATCAACCAGGAGAGCAAAGAGTGACAAAATTGGAGGACATGTTTGGAAAGTTTATGCAAGAGACCACAGGTTTTATGAATGAGACGAGGATGAATTTTAGAAATCAAGGGGCGTCCATTCAGAACTTGGAGGTACAGGTGGGGCAATTGGCTAAAAAGCTAAATGAGAGAGCATAGGGGTCCCTACTGTAATAACTCCTTTATACTAGGATACTCATAGAAATACATAAAGTAAAATTCATTTATATCAACAAAAATAGATGGGCCCAAAATTTTCTTTTAGTACATATAAACATTCTTATTACCAAATAAGATATCATTTTACAAAAAGTTATCAAAAACAGTAGATAGTGTAGCTATTGCTCCTCGCTTGCCGACGCCAATCCGACTGCGTCTTCACCTAGATCCTGTAAATGCAAAGAAAAACAACGGGGTGAGCACAAAAATAATGCTCAATAAGTAAATCCTCCACTCGTTTGTCCCCGTAACTCTTTTTCTTAATTCTTTCCTTACACACTTCTCGTCTCATTTATTTTATCTTTCTGTTTCTCTTTCACACAGCTCTCTTTTATTAATTTTCTATTGTAAGTCACGGCCTCATCTTACCGGAGGCACTGCCGGGTGGAGTTCACAAAGCACCAATCCGCTCTTCGTGACTCTACTCATTCTCTCTTTATTCTTTCTCACTTGAATGTCATGGCCTCATCTTACCGGAGGCACAGCCGGGTGGAGTTCACAAAGCACCAACCCACTCTTCGTGACTGCTGGGTAGAGTTCACAAAGCGCCGACCTGGTCTTTGTGTTTTTCTTATTTTCTCTATTCTTAAAGTAGTTCATTCACAAAGTTTTCTACTCTTTCTCAAGCTACTTCTCAATGCACAATTAATGTATAAGGATGGTTCATGCTTAAAATTTCTTACTTAAGGAAAACTAAAGGAGGGTGTGAAAAGGTGAGAGAGGAGAAATGTTTCTGCAGTGATTAGAGAAACTTCCAGTGAAGTGCAAGGAACAGGTATGTTTACTATCCTTGTACGATAGGAACACTAGGTGTGAGAAGGCCATGATAGACTTAGGAGCTCTATAAATGTCATGCCATTTTCCATATATGCTTCTTTGAAACTTGGCTTTGAATAAACTGGTTGTGATTTAATAGCTGATAGATCTAATGCCTATCCTAAGGTGTGGTGAGGATATCTGGTACAAGTTAAGACTTAGTTTCCCCCACTAACTTTTATGTGCTTGATATGGAAAATGGTGATCAACTGCTCCTATTTTTAGGAAGACCTTTCTTAAAAACATCAAGACTAAGATAGATGTTCAAGTGGCATACTTCCATGGAATTTGTAGTGAAATTGTCAAGTTTAATATTTATGGACCATGAAAATATGTGATGATGATGATAATCATGTTATTCTATAGATGTGATTGATACTTTGCACATACGTTTTGAAACTGATGGAGAGATGGATTGGAAGTTGCCATTAGTAATCATCTTGAGAAAGAGATGAGGAGTTTGCCTTAAGTAGAATTGTAGGAGACTGTGGCAGCATTGAATGAGTTTTCGAACTTACAGCAGATCAGGTAACATTCTATATGGCATTACCAATTTCTAATGGAGGCCTTACCTCTGTTTTGCAGGTCCCGTTCCAGATTGAAGCCCTCCTAGTTACCTCAAGTACTTGTTCCTTGGAGAAAAGAAACGCTACCAGTGATCATCTCCAGCAAAATTAGTGCATTCAAGAAGAGAAGTTGTGCAGGTCTTTAAAAAGCAAAGACGGCCATGGTTGGAAAATGCAGATATTAAAGGAATTAGCCCGTCTACATGCATGCATCGCATCTGCTTGAAGAAGGAGTAAACCTTTCCGTCAATCGCAAAGAGAGATGAACCCGCCCATGATGGATGTTGTGAAGTAAGAGATTCTGAAACTTCTTGAAGTTAGAGTGATTTATCCTATTTCAGATAGCAATTGGGTTAGCCCTGTTCAAAGTGGTTCCAAAGAAGACCGGAATAACTGTTGTAAAAAATCAGAATGAGGTTAGTTCACACCGTGTTCAGAAGGGTGGCGGGTTTGTATAGATTACAGAAAATTAAATGCTGTAACAGCAAGGACCACTTTCTTTACCTTTTATTGATCAATGCTTGAAAGGTTAGTTGGTCATTCTTACTATTGTTTCCTGATGGTATTTAGGTTACTTTCAGATTGCAATGCTTGGAGGATCAAGAGAAGACGACGTTTACATGCCCATTCAGACTTGTTATCGTCGATGCCTTTTGGCCTTTGCAAAGCCCCAGCCACTTTCCAAAGGTGTATGGTTAGCATATTTCAGATATGTTGGATACATAGAAGTTTTATGATGATTCATAGTTTATGGAAACTTTTGATAATTGTTGCAAAACCTTACACTGTTCTTCAAAGATGCCTAGAAACTAACCTTGTGTTGAATTCTGAAAAAATGTCATTTTATGGTTGATCAAGGTCTGGTTTTGGGTCATGTTGTTTCATCTAGGGGCATTGAGGTAGATAAAGCCAAATGACATTATTCAATCTACCTTACCCCACTAGTGTGCGGGAAGTTCGGTTTTCTTGGACATGAAGGTTTTTACCGAAGATTCATCAAGGACTTCTCAAAATAGCATTCCCCTATGTAAGTTGCTAGAAAAGGATGGGTTTTTGAGCTCAATGAGGAATGTAAGAGGCGTTTGACAAGCTGAAGGAACTGGGACTTCCACCCCCTGACTGGAACGTTCCTTTCGAGATAATGTGTGACGCAAGTGATTATGTAGTAGGCACTGTTTTGGGTCAAAGAATTGGAAAGCATCTCATGCCATTTATATGCTTCCAGGATTGAATGATGCCAGAGAAATTATTCCACACTGGAGAAAGAAACTTTAGCTATTGTTTTTGCTTTAGAAAAGTTTCGATCTTATTTGCTTGGTACTAAAATTATTGTTTTTCTGATCATGTAGCTTTGCGTTATTGATAACGAAGAAAGAGGCAAAACCGAGATTAATAAGATGGATTCTCTCTTGAATGAATTCGATTTGGAGATCAAAGACAAAAGAGGGACAGAAACCGTTGTGGCGATCATTTGAGTCGTCTAGTCATGTGGAGGATGAACTTCATTTGCAAAGAACGTTCCTTGACAAGCAAGTTGTTTTCCACGAGTGTGACATTACCTTGGTATGCAAATCTTGTAAATTATTTGGTTACTAACATCTTCCTCCGGTTTGTCTAGGGCTCAAAGAGATAAGATGAAAAGTGATGCCAAATATTGTGGGGATGACCGCTACTTATGGAGCATTATGCAGATCAAGTAATAAGAAGGTGCGTTCAAGAAACTGAATTTTTTCATTCTCACCTTTTGTCATTCTTATGCATGTGGAGGTCACTTTGGAGCTAAGAGGACAGCGAGAAAAGTGCTAGAATGTGGTTCTTTTGGCCATCTTATTTCGAGATTCATACTCTTTTTGTAAGTCATGCGGCTATGTCAACGGACAGGTAATATATCCCAAAAAATAGAGGCCACAAACCCCCATTTATTTTGGAAATTTTTGATGTTTGGGGCATCGATTTCATGAGACCGTTTCCTGTATTTTGTATGTTTATATTTGCTTGCTATTGATTATGCTCGAAATGGGTAGAAGCTAAAGCCTAGGACTTATGATTCTAAAGTTGTTGCAGATTTATAAATCTAACATATTCTGCAGGTTTGAAATTCCAAGAGCTCTAATAAGTGATCGAGGCAATCACTTTTGCAATCGAACTGTGGAGGCTTTGCTGCGAAAGTATCAGTAACCCACAAAGTGTCTACTGCTATCATCCGCAAACTAGTGGACAAGGGAAGTGTCAAATCGAGAGATCAAGTCATCATGAGAAGATCGTCAATCCAGTAGAAAAGACGGAGTTTGCGTTGGGATGATGCCTTGTGGGCATATGGACTGCATATAAGACGCCCATTGGTATGTCACCTTTTGTTTGGTTGTTTGGGAAAGCATGCATCTTCAGTTGAGTTAGAACACAAGGCTTATTGGGCAATCAAGAGTTTTTTACATGAAGATGGATGAAAGTGGGAGAACATAGGAAGTTGCACTGCAAGAGTTAGATGAAATCTCAATGCGCTATGAGAATGCAAGGATTTACAAGGAAAAAACGAAGCTTTTCATGATAAGATGATCTCTAGGAAGGAATTAAAGTGTGGTCAAAAGTCCTTTATACAATTCACGACTTGCGTGTGTTTTCGGGTAAGTTACGTCCGTTGGATTGGGCCTTTTGTGTTACTAATGTTTTCCTCATGGTGTAGTTGAAATTCAAAGTTTAGCAACTTCCAAAGTGTTCAAGGTTAAGGCCATAGACTTAAGACTTTCTAGAAGGTCTCCAAGAAGAAAATGTTGCAGGATCAGACCTTGAGGATCCGACTATTCAGATTGAAGAAGACAGCCTTGAGTCGA